AACGCCGCATTGCGCCCACGTTTTGATTGGCTTGGGACATCCTTTACCTAAGAAAATCGATCAAAATGAATTTCCCTACATTCTGGGATTTTTGGAAATATGACAATACTGTATTAGTTTTAGAGGGAAAATTGCTGTTAAGCGTTTTTTAATATAATTTCAACGATTTTTTAACCAATTTTTTTTATTTTTCGTCGATTTTAAAACACATGCACTGTTGCCAAGTTTATGAATGTTTATGAGTGCCAAATTCAGGAGTGTTTTAAGAGATAAAATTGCTGTCAAGAGTTTTTTAATATGATTTCAACGATTTTATAACCAATTTTTTTATTTTTCGTCGAATTTAAAACGCATGCACTGTTGCCAAGTTTATCAGTGTTTTAAGAGATAAAATTGCTGCTAAGCGTTTTTTTAATATGATTTCAACGATTTTATAACCAATTTTTTTTATTTTTCGTCGATTTTAAAACACATGCACTGTTGCCAAGTTTATGAGTGTTTTAAGAGATAAAATTGCGTTTTTTAATATGGTTTCAACGATTTTATAACCATTTTTTTTATTTTTCGTCGATTTTAAAACGTTATGATTTCAACGATTTCAACGATTTTATAACCAATTTTTTTTATTCTTTGTCGATTTTAAAACGCATGCACTGTTGCCAAGTTTATGAGTGTTTTAAGAGATAAAATTGCTGTTAAGCGTTTTTTACCATGATTTTAACGATTTTATAGCCAATTTTTTAATTTTTCGTCATTTTTAAAACGCATGCACTGTTGCCAAGTTTATGAGATAAAATTGCTGTTAAGCGTTTTTTAATATGATTTCAACGATTTTATAACCAATTTTTTTATTTTTCGTCGATTTTAAAACGCATGCACTGTTGCCAAGTATATGAGTGTTTTAAGAGATAAAATTGCTGTTAAGCGTTTTTTAATATGATTTCAACGACTTTATAACCAATTTTTTTATTTTTCGTCAATTTTAAAACGCATGCACTGTTGCCAAGTTTAAGATTGTTTTAAAGGAGAAAACTGCTGTTCAGCGTTTTTTAATATGATTTCAACGATTTTATAACCAATTTTTATTTAACGTCGATTTTAAAATTCATGCACTGTTGCCAAGTTTAAGATTGTTTTAAAGGAGAAAACTGCTGTTGAGCGTTTTTTAATATGATTTCAACGATTTTATGACCAGAATTTTTATTTTTTATTGGTTTGAAAACGAGTGCACTGTTGCCAAGTTTAGGAGTTTTTTAAGAGGGAAAGTTGCTGTTAAGCGTTTTTTAATATGATTTCAACGATTTTATGACCAGAATTTTTATTTTTCATCCAATTATAAACGCGTGCACTGTTGCCAAGTTTACAATTTTTCCCAGATTTAGGGATTTTCTCCAAAAAATCTTACCTTTCACTCTGATGCCCTCCATTTCCTCCTTATAGGCGTCCACCTCATCCTGGGTCATTTTAGCGATTTCCGGGACTTCGACGTAAAAACTCTTCCTAAACGAAATGTAGCGGATGTTATCGTGATCAATTTTGGCCAATTCTTTTTTCTGTTTATTAGCTATATTAGCCGCAGTATCCTTCAAATCTTCTTGCTCTTCCTCAGAGGAATATTCGAGACCGTCTTGATTCTGCTCTATTAACTCTCCCTTATTTTTACTGGCTTTAGCTTTGGCAACGCCGCTTACAATGACCATGGAGCTTTTAGTATCGTTCGAGCCGGGTTTCTTTACTTCAAATTTGTTGATTTTGCGAACTTCCTCTTGTACACTCTTCATGAACTCATCCAGAGGGTCCACATCTTCTTCCGGGGCTTTTTCCGGTTCTGGGGGTTTGGGGGGTTCTTCTTCGGGTATTTCTTCGACTTTTTCTTCGCAGTCGCTATCTTTTTTATGCGTTTTGTCGGATTTAACCTCACCTTTGTCTTCGTCCTCGGAATCGTCCTCGAGTGACCACTTTTTGACGGCGCCTTGGGGGATTGTTAGGTTTTGCACCAGGGTGCCTTTCTGTGCTTCTTTTTTTGTGGCTTCTTGCTCTTTTTTCTTACGTTCAGCTCTCCAACGCTCTATCCGTTCTCGCCTTTTCTGCATCTCCAACTCCAATTTTTTTTGTTCTTCTTCTTTGTCCAAATTATTGGGGTCAAATGAGAGACCAGAATCTTCATTTTTTTCTTTGGAGCGCGATCTTGAGCGAGATTTGTCTCTACGCCTTGATTTTCCAGTTCCACCACGTTTATCAGCCCTATAATGATTATTATAAATTGGTTAAAAAATATCAAAATTAATTTACCTCCTATTATCCCTTTCTCTGCTATACGATCTCCTTTCTCTATCAACTCTATCTCTTTCCCTCCTATCCCTTGACCTACTCCTCCTTTCCTTCGATCTACTCCTACTTCTTCTCCTGTTTTCCCTCGAACGACTCCTCCTATGCCTAAGCGCTTTAACCCTCTCATAACTCCTACTCCTCGACCGCTTCCGCCTTTTTTCCGGAGTCCGGCTTCTATCCCTCCTAAAATTGACCAAAAACGTTTAATTTTGAGGTTATAACGATAAAAAAAACACCAAAAAATTATGTTTAGCTGGGATTATATATGTAATTCTTACCCTCCACGAACCATTTTTACGCAAAATCACTTCAATAAATCGCTATATTTACATAAAAACGATGAAACAACATTCATTATAACCTAAAAATGCACCACTGTCATATTTTGACGCCACTGTTTTATACAGCGCCATCTATCCAAGTTTGACCAAACCTTATTTTAAATAGTTACTTAATATTTGAAAAGATGGCGAGTATTAGTAAATCCTGAATGTAGGCAATTGTATTTGTAACTGTGTAATTCAATTGCCTAAATACAGGCTAAAACATGTTTCAACGTGATTAATAAGTAAAACCTAATTATTTAACACATTTTATTACAAAATAAATAAAAATAACAATATATAACTAGTCGAGATGCTCATGTTCGTGTTCGGCATGTTGTTCGGATTCCCGCCAATACTTTTGTACTGTTTCGCAAATTTTACTCCACCAGGTAGTTTTAGTGAAATAATACGCCATACACAAGTTAACAAATATCCAGGACATAATTAAAAACGTATCAGAGTCTTTGGATGGTACGCTGTATACAGGGCCCTCGAAATCAGCAGAGGAGACCCAGTTTAATTCAGTTGGATTTAATCCTGTGATGCCTGTTAAAACTTTGGAAAATAACTCTAGGGTGTATTTCGAATCGTTATATTTCGCCACAGGTCGCCCATTGTGGAACAATAAGATCGAAGGTACCCCAACAATACCATTTTGAGTGTTGAATAAATGGTAAACCATGGCATTAATAGCAACCATTTTGATGTCTGGAAAAGCCCTAGGGAGTGCATTAAAATGGGGCGCTGCCATACTTGAAAACGGGCAATACTTGGAATAGAACAAAACCAAAATACATGGTGCAGGAGTTTCTCGGCTGGTAATATTTGTATCAGGTGAAAGTAATTTAATCAACTCTGTATCGTTAACCAACTGCACCTTTTCACTGCCCAAATTAGGCAAACATTGGACATATTTTACTGTGGAATTTGTACTTGTTGAATTTGAGGTTATGTTCCCCTGGACTGGTTGTTCTTTGGGGGATTCTTCAGGAGCATTTTTTATTTTATTAGTAGTAACATCCTGTGTCAAAATTATGTTAAAACATAGACAAGAAATGCCTAAAAATAAACAAACATGTGAACCGTAAATTATTTTAAATTTATGTTAAAAATTTACCAATAACGCATAAAAAACGATTTTTAAAGCCCATATTTCACTCAAAAATCATTAATATTGTTTAAAAATCACCTAAAAATAACTTTTATTTACTTTGTTGACAATTCAACTGTCAAATCTGACGTCTCAGTAAACATAACCCTACTTTATGTACATCATAACCTCGAAATGAAGCCAAAGAATATATTTATTTTCACCCCCAATGCTTTGGAGAAAGACAAAAATGGTTACCTGGAAGGTTTTCATAAAAAATACGCCGACAACGAAGCATATTTCATAACGAATTCACGTATAAAAAAGCAATGTACAAAATTTGTAGGTTACGCGGGAAAAAATCGGAATATTCAACAAACACCCAATACTATCAGCATAGAGAATGGTAAAATTACAGTTAATGGTACAAATTTGCCTCTGGTTAATATTTCCTATGATTACCATGCGTTTAAGGATAGCAGAGTGATAGATAACACACTGAATATTTATGGAAAGTTTTTCAACGACTTAAAACAGTATTTTGTGGATAAAAATAATAGTACAAATGGAAGAAAAAGTGTTTTTGTGAGATTTATAGACTTTTTAACAATTTATATTGGCTATATGTTGATTTTGTTGGATAAATGTAAGTTTTTTGTGCCATTTTTTGCAACTCTAACTCATTTTGAACAATCCCTTACGACTTTGCTATGGTTTTTCGAAGAATTAAAAGGGAAAAAGTTAACGTTGAAGGCTGGGAATGTTTTGATGGCAAAAATAATTGATTTGGTGGTTGGTGTAGTGCTCATGTATTATTGTATTAACCACCAAATAGGAATAACTATAATGTTTAAAGACTGGACCCAAGTACCTAAGTCAATAACAATTTAATTATATACTATTAATTAACATTATTTTAGGAAGTTGTGGAACAACTAAAATCACTTTTGTTATGCTTAATGGGGTCTCCAATAGGTTTAAAACTTAACTATGCTTTCAACCAATCACTGGGAAAGTTTTTCTTTTACCATATAACCTTATGGAAAGTGTTTTTAAATGGTTTACACCCTTTGATTGAACAGTATTTTAAATGCTTATTATTTCCATGTTTGTTTGGGTTTACATTCCAAATAGCAATGCTTTACGATGTAATTTCAATATCAACTTTTCACGTGTATTGCATTTACGTATATGCAGCAAGGTATTCAGGTTATATTTTTGCGATTTTTATTGATTAATATTATTTTAGAATGTTTAATTTACAAGTAAAATGCCTTATATCACTATGGAGACTTTTTACGGGCCGAAAGTTTAATCCACTGAGAAACAGGGTTGATTCGTGCCAATATGAACAAAATCAACTTTTTATAGGGACTTTGGGATTCACAGTGTTTCTATTTTTGTTACCAACCACTACAATGTACTACACTGTTTTTGTTTCGGTAAAAAACCCTTAATAAATAAAAAAATGTAATAATTATTTTATTTTTATAGTTCAGAATCATCATTAAAATTGTGGAAACGTTGTTTTCCAAATTGAGACACATTTTAAATGTTTTACCTCTGTATGGCCTTTCTTTATGGATTTTTAATTCCAATTTAGTCGCAGGTAATAAGTGTCAAAATCAAGGTTGTAAACGTCAATTTTTTTCAAGGTTATCATTGTCAAAATTGACCTTAAAACTTGTCAATTATTGGCCAATTTTAACGATTATTTTACTGAAAACTTTTTAGGGTCTCTTTATATAAAATGTGTATATATCGAAAAAAACGACGTTACGTTGGAAGCAAAATTAAACAAACTATCGCTAGGACAAATTTTCGAGTCAACTCCAAAAATCACGAAGAAAAATAAATTTAATTTGGGGGAATTTGTACACAATGTTTTCACAGGGGTTTTGATATGAAAATAAAAAAAATGAATCCTTGATATTCTAGCTTTATTTCTTTTCCCTATACTAAATTACAGATTAATAAATATTTCTCATTTATTATTATGTAGGTATTATTTTTATGGAATTACGGATAAAAATATAAAATTTGTACCTAATTTCAAATTACAAACTTTATACAATAAATTACTAAAATAAAAACAATCAAAAATGCTTTAAAACTTGCTCCTTTTACAATAATTATTATTATTAACCCCTTTATTGACATAACCTAAAAAATTAAAACAACTGTCAAATACTATAAAAACAATTGAAGGGGCAAGTTTGAGCGCATTATTCCATGACATGCCTTGTTTTATGTCCCTTTAAAGACATAAAAAAGGTCACTGGATTCTTTTTATCTTGCACCATTATTCACAATAATATTATTTATTATATTAAAGGAATTATGGGTTAAATTCTATAAATTATATGGAACTTATGGCCCTATGCACAAAGATTAGTTTAAACCAACCTTTGTGCATAAAGCTATTTAATATGGTGTAGGTTGTTAAGAGGAACTACTGACTTAAAATTAAAGATTTTTTAGTATCACATGAGACTAGTGTATTAAATAAAAAATATAGACATACAAAAAAAGGGAATACTGTCATTCTATTGCATTTTTTTTATCACAAATTTGTATATTTTTGAGAGAGATCTTTACATTTTAACGTCAGTCGGACCTAAAAACTTTTGAACACCAAAACTATGATTATTATAATTTTATATTTTAAGTAGCAATTTAGACAGAATTCACTTTGTTATACCATGAATACTGGTTGCAGAGCTATTTTTAGTTGAATGGCGACTTCTACTGTTAAAAAAAAACAAAATTTAATTAATAAATTTAATAATACATTTAAAGAATAAAAAAATCAAATTTTTAATCCCCGACTCACCGTATATCATTTGTAGATATATCTCTGCTGTAATCATATTTATTTTTCTCCAGTCTACGTTCTAAGTCCTATAAAACAACAAAAAAACCCGTTAGAATTTAACCTGAAAGCTCTGAAAGCACCCAACACTTTTTACAACAGGTTAAAAGTCAAACAACTGTCACATCTGACGTTAGACGGTTAACCTCAAAAAAACACTGACGCACCTTGACATTTGGTTGTTTTTGAGGTTATGGACGGTATTTGCGGGACACTCTGTACATTTAAACTGACCGCATTCCGAACACAGGAATCTAGTGAGCTGAAAGCAACACAAAACATGCATACCACTACAGAAACAATAAAAAACTGCATGCACAAATAATACTAAAAATCTACTTGTTTGTGTTTTTTGAACACCCTGTATATTATTGTGAAATTGGATGTGTAAATTATGTAAGCAGGTGCCAAAATTTATACCGATATTTTGTGTGTATATTTTTATTAATAACTAAAAAACTATTATTGCTGGGGATTTCATTTTTTTACATAATATAAGACTGTATATTGTAATGTTGATACAAAATTTCAACATTTTAACCTTAATAGTTTTTGAGTTATAACCAAAAAACAAAAAATCCTTGAAAGCCAATTTTTGTGTCCCAAACTGTACATTTTGAAATACTTTTCATAGTAAAGCATTACTTAAAGCCCCAAAAACTATAATAAACATCCAAAACAATAACAATAAAACCCATTTTTCTAAAAAAAACTTTTTTACTTACTCCCATTTTTCTAATAAGGTCACTAACTAAATTCAAAGCCACCACCCTGGATGCTGGTGTAATTGGTGTTTGAAACTCGTCTGTAAGTCAAAAATTACAAAATTAAGACATTTTTTGAGAAAAGAAACAAAAATAGGTAGGTAGGTATTTGGAACGACCCTAAAAAGCCTTTGGGATTTGAGTTATTTTAAAGGGAAAAACTATGGGAAAAAGCTGAATAAATATTAAACAAACAATGTTAAAGCATAAAAAAACGATAATAATCAATTACACAAATGTTTAAACAATATAATGACTAAAAAGCAAAAAGTTAGGTTAGGATACACAAATAAAGTGGTGTTCTCAGAAATATTAACACTATTGTTTTTTTTTAAGTAAAAATAGCAATTTCAACATAAAATCAGTAGCGAGTTTATAATAAACGAGTTTCTTGAAGATTTTATAGAACGAATTGCACAAGGGGCGTCCATTAGTTACGTGAGGTGTTTTTTAGGATTTAACCTATAATTTTTAAATAATTAAATTTGTTAATGTTATATTCTCTGAATTAAAAAGCTGACGTGAGATTTTGACCTCGTAATAAATGGTCGCCCGCATACCATACTTTTTCTACGACGCACACAAAGTAATGTTTTTTCTCAACCTGACATCTGTCAAACGGTTTCAGCCTCATCACAAAAAGTTAGGTTAGGATATATTTGAAAAGTGGCGTTCTGAGAAATATAAACATAAAAAACAAGTAAAATCGACAATAAAGGTTTAAAAAACTCTAAAAACAAAACACAAAAATAAAAACCAAAATTAACTAAATATTACTATTTATTCACGAAATTATCTAATGTTTGTGAAAAACATGCGTTGTGATAGAAATTACATGCATTATTTGGCAAAGTATAGAAGAAAAAGATGAGATTTCCGAAAAAGCCAAAAACCAATTATATGAGGATGTTTAATATCTACATGGTGGTGTTAGTGTTAAATCGGCGTTTTCGGAAAAAAGCTGTAACTTTATGGAATGTTTTGTATCTTTGCATCTTACGTTTTGATGGAGTAGTTTGCGTCTCGTTTTCTTTCAATCTATTCGAGTCGACAATAGGGGGCGTTTTATAACCATTCACTATCCTCTCATTGTCCGGACAACGCTCTTTCACTTGCAACTCTTGCTGTAGCTCTAAAAATCAAGATTAGCGAGGTTATGTCGTAAATTTAAGGTTATGTACCTCTTCTTTCATCAAGAAGCCTTTGAAGTTTTTCTTTTAGGGTTTCCTTTTCGTCCACTTCAGATTCCAGAATGGCGTTCCGTTCTATTGCACTGTTAAAGGCAGATTCGATGCCTTGAATACTTTCCTCAATTATTCTCCTCGATCTCTCTAAATCATCATTTTTTTGCTCTAATTCCCTAATGTATTGAGTCATTTGCATTTTATCGTTTTTATATGTCACAATTTCGTTTTCTAGGCTGTTAACTTCTTTATTGTATTGCTCTATTTTTATCTAAACACAAAAATTACAAATGGCATTTTTAAGGCTATAATTGTCAATTTCAAGGCTATTATTGTCAATTTCAAGGCTATAAATGTCAAATTTAAAGGTAAAAACGTCCTGTACTTACCCGATAAGAATCGACCTCATTCTGGAGTCTATTATTGGCAATTGTTAACTCTTTAATTTTCTTTTCATTTTGATCGATTGTAGCTTCATATTCCTTTTCCAACTGTTGAGATTCTGATATAAACTCGTCCGACTCCTTCTGAATCCTGTCAGCACTAAAAACCCCCGATTAATCGTATCTAAGTCAGTGAAAATTTCATATTTTCTTACTCCAAAAAATATTGTTCTGCAAGATTTTTCCAATACTGTATCTCCTGGTCCTTATCAGTAAAATTAGGATGGTCGCCTTTATTCATTTTCGCCAATTATCGTTTACTTCCTCGTCTTAAGGCAATTAAACATTTCCTTGAACTAAAAAAACGGATTTAATTCAATGATTTTGATCAACTGTCAAATATTGTAAACATGAGTCATATCGAAATGTAAATAAAAAACACCAATAAACAGGTGTTTAGGTTTAATATTAGTGTAAATTACTTTGATCTTGATTATGGATTAATTTTGTATTGTAATTTAGCTTACTTAAGGTTTATATCACTGGCTTTTTGTACTTATTTATCGAAAATACCCCATACAAAATGGAGGTTTCAATAAATGTCAACTTTCTTTATTAGACTTCGAAATGTCAATCATAGATGGCGCCACACAAGCTTGACTAAAACGACAACAGCTGGCGCTGAAAATATTTTTAAAAGCATATTTTGGGATTTTGAATTGTTTTGAAATTAAAACACTAAATTTTAAAATTAAACGTTTTTTTAAATTATTTTAAATATAAATTGAGTTATTAATTATAAATCTTTATAATGGATCCACATTCTTAATTTATTCTAAAAAAAAGTTTGTTAAAGGGTATAATAACGCAAATATCACGTTCAAACATGTTCTTAACATTATTTTAACGTTTTCTCCTCATTTCAGGTACGCGTATGCGTAGTAGGCTCGGCGAATTTCAGTTTATAACAAACGTCCGGGTGTCCTGAAACTTCAGTCCACTGAAGACTGCGTTTCCGTCATGAAATCTTCCCTTGGTGTAGGATTTTTTATTTTTTCGACATGTATGGCATCAGTTTTCACGCTGCCAACCTCATTGGTGGAAGAGATCAAATCTAGCGAGCTTAGAGAACCCAAGGGTAAGTTGATTTTAGTTGCATAAACGTTTTATAGGTGATTTTTAATGTTATTTAGGTGTTTTAAGGGTTGTTTTAGCGTACTTTTTAATATTAAGGGTGTATTTTGATGGTTTTTAACGCTTTTAACCTATGAAATCATGTTTTAACGGTTTTAACGGGTATATAAATAGTAAACTATGAAATGTTTATGCACAAAAACTATACAGGGTGTAACAATTGCATTTTTTATAATAATATTAAAAATAATAATGATTTTATTGTCATATTAAATATGACATATTTTCGTTATCATATTTTGGCAAATGGGTGTAGTTGGGGATTTTGAGTGCATGCAACAGTCAGGGCCGGTAAAATCAATACTAATACCTGTTGATTTTTCGTTTATACGCAATTCGCCAGATGTACAAATTCGCTGGGTGATGGATAGAGGGTTTTTTATACAGGGTGTTGTAGTGTATTTTTCTTTGTGGGCGCATCCACCATTTTCCCTTTATAATCAGAATTTTGCGTAATTGTGAGAAATGGTTCTTATTATTCATGTGACTTGTCCCAAATAACACAACTGGTTATGGTTGGTTAATTCATTTAAGTAATATTTAACTGAAACGTTAATTTAACTTTAATTTGTAATAAGTGGGGAATTAAATTATGGTTTGATTATCGTTATGTTAAGCCAATTTAACTTTTTGGTTAATTTACCTCAAGGTTTAAATCAAACCAAAATTTTGGTTTATTAAAATTTAGTTTTTTTGGGGGTGTGAACCCCCCTTCCAAAATTTGAGAAACAATTGTGATTTCAGATTTTTTTATAGAAATCCCAATAAGCTTATGAATTTTACTCCTATATTTTACCAAACCTCCCATCCCCGATTTTATTGACAACGCGCATGGTAATAAGTCTTACTTAACACAGTAAAACAGAAAAATTTTTTATTGACGAACCTTCTAAAAACGCATTAAAAAATAAAAAAAGTTTTTATTTCAAAAACGCGTTAAAAAATTAAACCCTTAATTTTTTTATTAAAATATAGTTATAACTATTATAATTAGATATAACTAATTATAATTAGGCCTAATAAGTCTTAATTACCACAGTAAAAAACAGAGATTTTTTACTTAACAGTAAAAAAAATTGTTTGGCAAACCTTCTAAAACGCATTAAAAAATAAAAACCCTAATTTTTTTATCAAAAAATAGTTGATTGTACATAATAACACATTAACACATCAAAAAAGAAAGAAATTAAGTATTTTGCTGTGAAACCTTTACAAATCCCAACAATCTTATGAACTTAATAGTTTCATTTTACTCTTATATTTTACCAAAGCACCATCCCCATTTTTTTATGTTAACGTGCCTAATGAGTTACTTAACTCAGTAAAAAACTTAAAGCTTAAAACATAAAAAATATTTTTTTGTCAAATCTTCTAAAACCCTTATTTTTTATCCTAAAATATATTTGATTATATTTACGTATACGTAAAAGGTCCCACTTTACACAGTAAAAAAGAACAAAAGAAAGATTTTTTGTCAAATGCGTTAAAAAATTAAAACCTTTATATTTTGATTAAAATATAGTTAATTATACCCATATCTTAATTAACACAGTACAAAAATAAGAGTTTTTTACTTAACACAGTAAAAAAATATTTTTGGTGAAACCTTCTAAAAACGCATTAAAAAGAAGAACCATTATTTTTTGTATAAAATATATTTGATTATACGTAAACAGTCTCACTTAACACAGTAAAAAAGAAAAAAAGAGAAGATTTTTTGCCAAACTATTTAAAAACGCGTTAAAAAATAAAAATCTTTATATTTTTTTAATAAAATACAGTATATTATTCCAAATAGGTCTTAATTAACACAGTAAATAAATAAAAGATTTTTTAATTAACACAGAAAAAAAACTTCTGTCCAAACCTAAAACGCGATAAAAAATAAAAGCCCTTATTTTTTTTTATTAAAATTTAACTATATCACTGCCAACGCGCCTGGTAATATGTAAGTCTTACTTAACACAGTAAAACATAAAAAAATATTTTTTGCCAAACGCATTAAAAAATAAAACCCATTATTTTTTTTATGGAAATAAATTTGATTATACGTAAAGTCTCACTTAACACAGTAAAAAAGAAAAATATAAAGATTTTTTGTCAAACTATTTAAAAACGCGTTAAGAAAATAAAAACCCTTATTTTTTTAGTTAATTATACCATAAGTCTTAATAAACACAGTAAAGAAAAATAGAGATTTTTTACTTAACACACTAAAAAAATAATTTTTGATCAAACCTTCTAAAAACGTATTAAAAAATAAAAACCATTTTTTTGTATTAAAATATATTTGACTATACTTAAAAAGTCTCACTTAACACAGTAAAAAAAGAACAAAAGAAAGATGTTTGGTCAAACCATTTAAAAACAAGTTAAAATATAAATAGCTTTATTTCTTCATTAAAATATGGTTAATTATACTTAATAAGTCCTAATTAACACATTAAAGAAAAAGAGAGATTTTTTATTTAACACAGTAAAAAAATTTTTTTGTCAAACCTAAAGCGCAATAAAAAATTAAAACACTTATTTTTATAGTTTCATTTTACTCTTATATTTTCCGTTTTTTTTTCTATCAACGTGCCTTACTTAACACAGTAAAACATAAAAAAAACTAAAACGCATCAAAAAATAAAACCAATATTTTTTGTTTTAAAATATATTTGATTTTACGTAAAAATTAACACATTAAAAAAAACATTTTTTTTGTCAAATCATCTAAAAACACGTTAAAAAAATTAAACGCGTTAAAAAAATTAAGTCTTAATTAACACAGTAGAGGAAAAGAGAGATTTTTTACTTAACACAGTAAAAAAATAATTTTTTGGTAAAACCTTCTAAAAATGCATTAAAAATATAAAAACTTCTTATTTGTTTGATTTATATTTTAATTACACAGTAAAAAAACAAAAAACCCGATACGTATTTTAAAATCCATATTCTTCGAAAAAACTTTTTTCAGTCAAGAGAACCCCATCAAACCAAGAAGAAAACTCTGAAGTCCAGTACTTCAACAAACCATCAGCCATCAAAAGAGGTAAACCAAAAAACACCCCAAAATCACAAACCAACAAAAACCCCAAACTTACAGGTGCCAACCTAAAAACCCCAAATTCCGACCAGCAAGCCCTTAACGAGTGGTCGCAGGCCCAAGCCCAAGCCCTGAACGAGGACCTCTCCAACCTCCAATCCAGCCTGTACAACAATCAACAGAACTACGACGATAAAACGATCGCTGAGTACGAGAAGGGCTTCCAATACGGCGCCAACAAGGAGAAACTGGACGAAGCGCTGGAAAATGCCGTGTTAAAATCCGAGTATTACGACCCTGGATCCCTAAACCAGTACAGATACTACGGTGCGGATGACAAGAAGCGGAGGAGGAGGGCTGTGCAAAAATTAAGGTGAGAAAAATAACATTATTTTTCGAATAATTTTGCATAAATTTGCCGTCCATAATTGAGATATTAAAAAACATGAATAAATCACTGTAAAGTGGATTTTTATTTTAAGCGATAACGACGTTTTATAACGCTGTTGGGCTGTTTTTAGATTTAATGGTTTAACAATTTTACATAATCTAAGTGGTTTAGGAGTTAAATTCAATAAAAAAACTTACTTTAGATTCTAAAAAAAATATATTTATAATATAGTACCGTCGAATAAAACAAAAAATGCATAAACATTGTTTATTTAATGGAACACCAAAAAGATGGATTTTTTATTTTTGTACAAAAACCTTTTTAAAAAAATTTAAAAATATAAATGTGTAGAAAAGATAGGACTTTAATTGACATATCTGGTTCATTTTCAAGAAACACCCGCTTTCAGGAAAATGAAGATCAAATTTTTTTTTTGCTTAAATTGACTTTTGGTTGGATTTTTATAAATGTTTAGAGTTTTGTTTATAAAGTATACTTATATTTAACACAGGCAGTGCACTTTTTTATTTTTTTACGTTTTTTTTCAGAAAAATCCACTGTGTTACCAATTTGAAATCCAAAATTTAATTCAATAAAAAAGTTGTTATAAAAATAATTTGAAATAAAATGTTTTTTTATTTTATTTTTTATTAAAAATTGTATGCTTTTTTTAAGTATGTATGTTCGTTAAGTTACTTTTTAAAAGAAACCATTCCGATTCTTTGTTAAAAAAACAATACCATTAATATTTTCTTTTAGTCACTGTATTAGTGAGTTAAACTCTAATTTATAAACACGTATGACCAAGCGATAGTGTATAAAAATAATTTTAAGTATTTTTTTAAACAAAAACTAAAAAAAGTTACGAAATAGACATTGCATGGTATCACAACGGACTGAGGTACACAAAGGACTTAATCAGATAACGTAAAAAAGAAACTATATACTCTCTAAAAATGAATTAGTCAAAAATGACTAATTTAATAGTTATTAGTGGCTGCTTTTTCACTTGTACCATGGTTAACCATGGAATACCATGGTATCCCAAAATTTAACAGCCAATTCTTATGTAAAATTGTCCCCTGAATCCAAAAATGTCGTCAATAGCTCAAAAAGTAGAACAGTTTTTGAGATAGAGTCAATTTTCCATTTAATATGGAATTGACTATATCTCAAAAACTGCTTCACTTTCATAATTATTCACGGTATTTTCGGATTCAGGGTACAATTTTACGTAAGAATTGGCTGTTAAATTTTGGAATACCATTGTATTCCATGGTTAACCATGGTACAAGTGAAAAAGCAGCCACTAATAACTATTAAATTAGTAATTTTTGACTAATTCATTTTAAGAGAGTATACTCTCTCTAAAAATGACCCTATAGGGTGGTACGATTTTAGAGTAATGCATAAACAAAATTCCTTGTAGTGGTGCTCACTTGCACAATTACAACTTAGATTTCTTAGACACCCTTTTTCTTTGACTATGAGCTGGTAAAGGTCTTGCGTCCCTTTTAGTACTTGTATATTGCGTGCACAAATAATTTTAAATTGGTTTATCATAAACTACTTTTTTATAAAAGCGACGGTAAATATCCACTTTGTTGTCGAAAAATTCTATTGCGTTACCCTAAATTCCATTGCGTTACCATAAGGTAACATAATGGACTCGGTAACGCAATGGACAAAGTTTTGTGAAACCATATTTAAAAAATAATAATAAGACATTACAGTCATTAATTACTCTCAATGAGCTTTAGTGCCCTAAAATAAACATAAAAATGAAAAATTGTATTTTTTCTTACCTTATTTTTATTATTTTTTTGAGTAACTTAGTAACAATTATTACATTCGCGTTACCCGCACCTGTTTCAACCGATATCTTCTTCCTGATTGAATAAATAAATTCAGCTGGGTAATGTGTACGTCCGAACATCATTTGTTAATCACGTGAGTGCCAAAAAAGTTGCCATATATATGTTTTTTTAATATTCTATCGGTAACGCGACGGACGTAACGCAACGGAAAAAATGTCTGGGAAAAAAGTAGTTTAAAATTAATTATTTTATATATAAATTGTTTACTGTATTAACTAAGGATGTTATGGATTGCTATAAAGCAACACAAAGTTCTGGTTATTCAATATTTAAAAAAAAACATGTATGTCTTATAAAACGCTAATGTGACATTCGAAAATGTGTTTCACAAGTTTCAAAATTAAAAAAAAATTATTCTTAAATAACTAAACAAACATTTTCTGAAAGAGTTTGCTAAGGGCTTGTTAGGCTTTCACTTGGTTGTTAAATCAATAGGATCCGATAATTTTTAACAAAGTTATTGGAATTCAAACTTACGGACATCGGAAGGTGGGTGTTTTTTGAAAACAACCCAAATACGAAAACAATATGTAACAGAACAGGTGCTCTGACGTATTTTCCACTATTGCATTATTTATGTTTTTCCATGTAATGACGTAGGTACCGTAACCTATATAAACGCAATCAAAAGCAATACAATAACTTATACAACGAAATCCTTTTAATATATAAGCATGAAACGTACAGAATATTGATTGATTTCGCGAAACAAATAACCAAAAAGGAATCCAATTAATTAGTAGAAAGTTTATATTAGTATTTACCTTCAATGTATTTTTTATTTCTTCCTTTAGGGTTTAATTAAGTTTTAAACTTTAATTAGATGTTTCTAAAAGACGCGATTTGATATTTTAATTATGGCTACAGCTTGGGAGAAGTTTTAATTCTTGTAAAATTAAATTTTCTGTTAATTAGTTTAATAAACGCCATTTACGAGCGAGTTCTTAATTAAATGAGTCTCTAGAAAAGTTTATAAACGAGTTGCATACTATACTATTGGTTGCATTGATTAAAACAAACTAAACTAGTTATAAATGTAGTTATAATGTAATTGTGGTTATGTTTAAATTATTGTAGGTTACATTGAACTGTTGTCAAGTTGAGTCAAGTTGTCAAAATTCGTAAAGTTCATTATTTTTATCTGGACTGCGGCAACGTTGCAAATTTAGGGTTTTGGTTGGTAAATACAGTTGTCAAGTTGGTCACATTGATTAAAACAAACTATAGTAAATTTAAAAGTAAACTACGTACACGTCATCAATAAAACAAAAATTTTACGCATTGGTACCAACACTAAATGACTAAATCGAAGTCTGTAATTGAATATTTGAATGCATTTTAACCAAATTAGGTTGGCAACAATTGTGATGTTGTCATGTTTACATTCAAATTTTTCATATTTAAATGACACATAAAAAAGAATTTGACGTTTTAGAATTTCGAAGCTGTCAGTTGTGTTTTTGAATATTTCGTTTAATTCGTGTATTATTTCGTTTATTTTGTTTGTTGTTTGTGTTATTTTATATCGTTTAAGTTTTCATTGCCGTTTTTGTGTTTGTTATATATCGTTTTTTTGTGTTTCCTATATTTAAAATGCCGAAGCATTTAAATAGTCGGAGTCAAGAGTTGGTGTCATCCTTAATACGCTATTTTGAGGCAGAACGGGATAATAATGGACCTTTGTTACCTTTAACAGCTGTTAGAGAGGTAAATAGGATTATTATTAATTATATATTAGAATATTTAACAAAATATATGTTGGATACATGAAATAATAATATATATACCAGAGACTGACTTAAGATGGCAAAATTTTTGGGTTTTATATCAGAAAATGTCTTTAAAAATGGCTAAAAACATACTTTTGGCGGTGCATCATATAGGTTATAAAAACTCAGACTTTTGACATTTTGATATTATTCATGTAAACGCCATCTATCGCCCTGTAGTTGCACTACCACTTTCCCTTGATGCAAGGATTTTAGCATCACATTGACAACCGTGCCCGATCAGCTGATTGATGACGTGTACGTAGTTTACTTTTAAATTTACTATAAGCTAGTTATAAATCTAATTGTGGTTATGTATAAATTATTGTAGGTTACATTGTGCAGTTGTCAAGTTGAGTTGTCGAAATTCGTGGTTAAAAATGCAATTAATTTGGCTTTTTTGGTGCTTGGATGAGTAAAATCATATAAAAAGGTAGGTAAATATAGGTTGCTTTACGGCCCAGAAGAGAAAGTATTCCTTGCGGAAAATAATCTTCCCTTTGAAAAGAATTTATAAAAAAAAAATTTTTTGTGAACGTAAATGTTGTCCAATGGTGAATAATGTGAAAATAATGTGTGATGTAATCTTTATAAAACCAAATCGTTACTTTTTTACTCCAAAAATGCCCATAAGGCGATGTACTTTTGCTTCCATTGTGGCATTTGGCATAATTTCATCAAAATGAAGTTTTGCCCTCAAAAGGGCTTTTACATTCGAATTCGTTGCTATTATTTTTGGCATAATTATCTTTTTATTTATAATTGACAAGTCAAACTGGCATAAGCCACCAACCTAACAAAAAAACACCAGATCAGATAAAAAAAAATGAACTGTAGCTTATTATTGAATACATTTTAGAACATATGGCAACACTGGAAATGTAGTTACTAACAAAAATATTAAATTGTTTGCGTTAATTAACATTGAAAAGCTTTTACGAAATTCCTGGGGGAAGAAGCCCTAACTTATCTAATTCAGCAAATGTGTTTGTCTCGATAAAATACCGCAAAATCGATGAATTCACTTGAGGGGTCGAGCACTTTTTTATTAAATCATTAATGGATTTATGTTACAACAGCTCTCAGGCTAATTGACACAAATAATCTGTCTTTTTGTGTTTTTATTCTGTGTAATCAATAACATTTGTCGAGATTGAAGTGTAGGTTGTTTTTTTAACTGATATATCTCACCACCGTTTATGCAGCCGTGTTAACTACATGTATATATACGACTTACATATAAAGATTATTACTTGTATTTTCAGGATGGCGCCCAGATTTAAACGGGACGTGGAGCTGACTCCGGAAGAAATAATAACCCTCCTGAACCTTTACGAAAAGAGTCGTCAAAACGAAGATTATAGACCCTATCAGCCATTAAAGTACCAATACAACAACGAAAACTACGATATAGATACCGAGAATAATGACGGTGAAAATTGGTTGGAAGGCCCGGTTTATCCGCATGTTAACCGAGAAAATACCGAATACTTGTTCGATGAAGCACCACAAGTCTTCGAAAAAAGGGGTAAATGGGGTAACTTTGAAAAGCAAAAGCGTTTCATGGTTGCCAAGAAGCGGTCTGCTGACCCCACTAGAGAGTTGAGATACTTGAACGGACCAAACCAAAATGATTATTACACTTTGTCGCACTTGTTGAGTAATCAAAGGGAACCCGATGTACCTCTATACCACCGTCTTATTCTATAAGTCATATCCGAAAAAAACAAGTATTTGCTACACTCTATATTCTAGAGGTTTCTATATCCAATTAGATTATTCGTGTTATATGAATGTGTATATTTTCTTAATATTAATTAATTAATATAATTAAGAAGTCAGTCAGTATAATATTAAGAACGTAATTTTAAATAAATGTCGTACAAGGGTATAAAATATATAAAATGCATATTTACCCACGAATAGATTTTTATTTTAACCTCAGTATCCATTCCCTGCCAACCAAAAATATTATTATTCCAAACTTTCTACTCCCCTGGTATCTACAGGATGTCACTTAAAAAAAATTTTTCTATTGAATATATAGAATATTCTTTTGCTACAAATTTTTCAGAACAAGAACCTAAGATTTTGTCGTAAACCCCTCTCTAAAAATAAATTAGTCAAAAATGGAATACCATGGTATCCCAAAATTTAACAGCCAATTCTTATGTAAAATTGTCCCCTGAATCCAAAAATGTCGTCAAAAGTTAAAAAAGTAGAACAGTTTTTGAGATATAGTCAGTTTTCCATTTAATATATAGATGTCAAAATAAAGTCAAATTTCAAAAATGATTGAAGTTGATTCAGAATATGGCTTAAGTAAGTAAACAAAAACCCTACAAACCCACAAAAACGATATTTTTTCAGTATTCAAGCCACAAAATGAGTTCAGAGAAGCTGTGGAAATGCGTTTTTTATCTATGGCCAAGAAATACTTGACAAAAGGCGCAGATCCGAATTTTGTTTACAAAGATGGTCTGGCTATTATCCATATATTAGCTACTGAAGGGGATGTTTCATTTTTTCGAAAAATGCAAGAATTGTGTGGTAACTGTTTGAATGTTAATCTTAAATCGCCCCCAATGAATTTATCCCCGCTTATTTATGCATCTCAGGCGTCTCAATATGAGTTTATGGAAGAATTGTTGAGGTAAAAGGGATCTAAGAAGATATTTTTCATATTTTGCAATCTTTTTTTGTAGACTTAAAGCTGACCCTAACTACATCGACAAAAGAGGCAAAGGTGCTCTGCATTATGCTGCACAGGGCTCTAAATTAAGGAACGTTCAGCTTTTGTTGCAATATAATGCAAATACCATGAAACCTGACGTTTATAACAATAGCCCTTTGTTTTATTCGGCTATACACTATGCCGAATTTTCGATAACACAGCTTTTGTTGGACGTTCCGGAACTTGAAGAAATCGAAGATTTGTTTTTAGGTAATTCCATGTTTCCCAAACAACAAACCTTTGGTTAAAGCTTTTTGGATAATAGGCAGTTTTTTAGATATTTGAGAAAAAATATAAAATTTAAGAGCTTTAAAATAGTTTTTAAGACATTATAGAGATATTTTTTAAGTTATGCATCTGAAAGCAGGCTTCAAGCATAGAAAAACCGACCTTCAAAATTCTTAAAATTTAAAAAAAAATTAATTTTCAAATATTTAAAGAAATTTTTAAAAATTATTAAAATTGTTACATACATATGTACATAGGTACATTTTAAGATTTTTTTTTAATTGAAAATTTTCAAAAATTATCAAAATTGTTACATTATCCAAAAAATTTTAAAAAGATATAAATTTTTCAAAATTGATTAAATTTTCAAAACTTCAAAACATTTTCCGAATTTTTAAAATTAAAAAAAAATCAACCGACCGAAAAATAACTAGTAGATTTTTAAACTTTTTAAAATTCACAAAATTTAAAATTTTACAAATTATTAAAATTTCAAACATTTTTAAAATTGTTAATTTGTTAATTGTTAACACTCCAATTTTTTAAAACCTTCAAATTTTCAAAATTTACAAAATTTTCAAAAATTACCAAAATTGTTACATTTTTTTTAAAATAGACAAAATTTATAAAAAAAATTTAAATTTTTCAAAATTGATTTAATTTTCAAAACTTGTTACATTTTCCGATTTTTTTTTTAAATCTTTTAAATTGACATTTTTAAATTTTTCAAACTTGACAAAATTAAAAAAAAATTCACAAATTATTAAAATTTTAAACATCAAAATTGTTACAATTTCCAATATTTTTTAAAATCTTCAAATAGGCTTCAAGCATAGAAAAAGCAACCGATCGAAAAATAACAGTAGTAACTAAAAATTGATGGAACAAATTTTTAAAATAACAGAAATTATCAAAATTTCCGAAATTTTTAAAACTAAAAATTTTAAAAAACTTTAAAATTGACAAATTTTCCAATATTTCATAGATTATTAAAATTTTAATTCTAAATTTTTGTAAAACCTTCAAAATTTTTAAAATAGAAAATGGACCAATCGAAAAATATAACAATTTTTAAAATTTTAAAAATTTCAAAAATTAACAAAATCCTTACAACTTTCAAAATCCAATTTTTTTTTAAATCTTCAAAATTCTTTACAGAATTTTTAAAATTTCAAAAATTGTTACAACTTGCATATTTTTTTAAAATTTTCAAAATTCTTAAAATTTTTAAAAATTTTAAATTTGTTTTAAGCATAGGAAAACCAACCAACCAAAAAATAGCACAGTACCCATGAAATTTTTTTAAAATTTCAGAAATTTTCAAAATTTTTCCAATTTTCGAAATTTTTAAAACTAAAAAGTCTACAAAAATGAACATTTTTAAATTTTTTCAAAATTTAATTTTATGAATTATTAAAATTTTAACAAATTTTTGTAAAACCTTCAAAATTCCTAAAAATTTTAAAATTCTTAAAATTTTCTAAATTGCCATAATTTTCAAATTTTTAAATAATCTTCAAGCATAGAAAAACCGACCAACCGAAAAATAGCACAGTAGTAAAACTATAAAAAATGACGGAAAGAATTTTGAAAATTTTCACCATTTTTAAGATTTCAGAAATTATCAAAATTTTTCCAAATTCAGAAATTTTTAGAATTCTAAAAAATTTTAAAATCTGCAAAATTGACAACATTTTTCAAAATCTTTATTTCACATATTATTATATTTTCCGATATTCCAAATATTTTAAAATTCTTAAAAATTTAAAATTTCAGAAAATTTTAATACGTCTGAAATTAAAACCATAAAAAGCATAGCTTTTGTCGTGCCTCAACTTACCGACACACCTACTTTTTTTCTTTCAAGAAAAAATTTTTGGGACATCTTTAATAACCACCATACTTATTTTCGTTGCATAGAAAGTGTTTTCAATTGCAACAGCGAAGTAAGAAGAAAAATAACAATGTACTTGGTACAGTGCGGCGCAAACATAGATTACAAACAGCCCGTCACGTTAAGAAATTGTCTGCACATTGTAGCCTTAACGAATTATCTACCCTTGGCAAGAGATCTGGTTTTCGCCGGAGCAAACTTGAATCACTTCGATATCACCAGGAGATTGCCCATACACGTTGCAGAAGACTGCAAAAATGTGGAAGTGCATGCGTTTTTTCTGAAAATGTCGCAGAGGATTGAAAGGAGGTCCCTTAAAAGGTCCACTTGTAAGTTCACGTTTCTATTATTCATTTACTCTTCCTTTCATCATCATTTTATTATTCTTTCATCATCCTTTCCTTCTCTATCTTTTCTCCATCCTTATCCCTGATAGCACAGTTTATTCTAAGAATGTTTTTTAAACCTTCCTGTGGGAATATTCTTAGGATCATGCTATATTTCTTCTAGTCATGTTCTAAGAATGTTTTTTGAATCTTCGAGTGAGAATATTCTTAGGATCATGCTATATTTCTTCTAAAGAACATGCTTAAAAGAAAAATAGCATAATCCTAAGAATATTCTCACTGGCCTATAGGCAGGTTCTTAGAAGGTGCAAAGTTTAGTGGTAAAAATTAATCCACTCTAAACATTTGCTTAGAATGTTGAGAAAGTAATTGCTATAGAAAGTTCATTTAGGAATATTCCTGGAACATTCTGTTAAGCATATTCAGTTCAGTTAGGTACCTATATAAAATATACCATAGCTACGTATAAATGTACCTATACTTAGTATTAAATACTAAGTAAAAACCCCAACCCAAAATATTTTTTTATAGTTATTTGTCAAATTAAAACAATATTCGATAAAAAAATACTTTTACTATAGGTATCTAAATTATCCGGCTTTTACATAAAATCTTCTATCCAACTTAAATACAATGAAAAATGTTTTTTTATGAAGAACTATTTGGTTTTTTCTTTTATGAAGAATTATTTTTTATAAGGAAATATTTTGTTTTTTTATATTTTAATTAATGTTAAAAATAAATATTTATTAATTTTATTAGAGATTTTTTATTTCTAAAAACATTTTTATGTATAATAATCATCTTCAACTTCAATCTAATCTGACTTATCCCACAAAATTTTCGAATTTTACTTTTTATGACATAATGTCATACAACTTATGGTTTAGAGGTCAAATTGTTTATTTAATATTTTTAAATAAATATATATTATGTCGCAAATTTTTTTTAGGGGACGACAAATACATTTCACTATCATATTATGACAGTGAGCTCACGCCTAGGCGTATTTGTCGCCTCCTGAAGAATTTTACGAATGTAGAATCCAACATATTAGAACGTGGGTATCTGACATATTTGGAAATATTCTCAAAAGCTTTCTAGAAGCTCCATAAGAAACCTTCTAAGAACATTCCAAAAACGTATTCTTAAAATGTTCTTAGAATGCTTTTTAGGAAGGTTTTAAGAAGCTTCTAAGAATCTAATTGCATCATTAAAAGGGTATCTATTGAATGTTTTAAAAGTCCCTAAGAACATTCTTAGCAATAAGGGAAGGTTCTAAGAATATTCCATTATTCCGGGTCATATCTTCTTAGAAGATTCTTAGAATCAAATTTTGCTATCAGGGATTATTCTTGATTGCTTCAGTGTAGCGTATTGTTTTTATATTATTCAGAAGGTACTGAATCTTTTTTGATATTTTGTGAATATTTTTAGGGAAAATGTCCAGAACCAGTGTTTTATCATCTAGAAGCACATCTTCTCTCGCAGATACAATGCTTACTAATGTTGATAACGACGATGACAAAGAAAATAATTATGATAAGGAAGAAAAAACAAACTCTTTCTAATTTTTTATTATATAGGTACTTGGTTTAGGTTATAAAACTAGCTTATAGAAATAAAAAATAGTATTTTTGGTAGTATTGCTTTCGAGTTTTGATTGATTCTTATAAAAGAAAACTTTTTATTTCGGATAATAAAAAAGATCGTTT